AAAAAAAAAGTCATACGGTTGTTTTATAACAATCTTATAGAAACGTACTGGAGGCAATCCTTTATATGTTAAGTAAGCGTTAAAGGCGAAGACTTTGAAGATAGACATACTGATCCATCATCTAGGAATATGGCTATAATTTTGAAGGATTTTAACCATGTCACCGTCGTTCAAGGGGAATTGGTACCAAGTGGAAATTCTTTTGACTTGGAGGATCTCCTTGGGAACTTTGATTATAAGAGAATTATAAAAATGCAATTTGATCGTCTTGATCCAAGCTTCCAAGAATTTTTAACTGTAAGATAAATTTATTTATTCATATTTCTATTTTTAAAAAATCCATTAACGTTTCATTTATCATTCAGGTTGCCTCATGTCTAGATCAATTCTTCACTGTACATGAGGTCGGAGCAGTGATAAAACCAACTAATTTTATATTTACCAACAGAAATTCTGAAATAATACAGCAGCAAATTGCAGCATTTGACGTCTATCATTTTTTAAAAGAAGTAGACAATGGAAATGCACAAGAGAACACCATTCTTTCATATATGTTTACACATATCACAATACCTCAAAGTATCTATGATATGGTTTCTTATGAAACAAGGATATCACTCCACCGCTCATTAGCAAAATACTATGAATCTCAACTCAGTCGTGAAAATTATCCAGAGATTTTACCTAAAATTACTCGACATTACCTGCAAACAGACGCTATAGGAAAACAGCTCTACTACTTAGAAGGCTTAGCGGAACAGAACATGCAAAACTATCTGTTGCCAGAAGCAACCAACAATTTGCAGAAAATCGTGAAAATTTTGGAAGAAAATAAACTCACAGAGCAGTTTGGAGATATGCATCTAAGTGATGTATACCGACGTTTAGGTATCTGCTATACTATGAGGACAAAACTTCCAGAAGGCGAGCGTTTTCTGCATAAGGCGTTAGATATCCTAGGAGAGCCATGGCCATCATCCCAACCTCAATTCTTGTATAAACTTTGGCTAAACAGATTTGTTCAGTACTGTCACAGACACCTTTTCTTTAGGCATCGCAGTACCTCATCACAAAAAGAGCGTATGCGCCGTTTAGTTGAAATTATGGAAAATCTATACAACATATATTATTATACCGGAAATGGAAAAGGTTGCATGTATGCCTGCTTGGTTGGCTTAAATGCATGTGAAGATATTGGAGATAGTGGACCTAATTATAGCTTATTTCTTGCTAGAAATGCTTTATTATTTTGGCTTAGTGATCAGAAGCAACACAGCATCTTCTACATTTCTAAAGCCTTAAAGTTAATGAACACAGCAAAACTAAATACTGACACCCTTTCGATTTGTGCATTCTTATGTTTTGCGGCTGGGAAGTTCAGCAACGCTAGAGACTTATTGTATCAAGTAATAGAAGATGCAAGAACTCTTGGAATAGTAACAGATTGTCAAACTTTTTACGTCTCTGTTGGTCTGATTGTGACTATGAGAATATTTGAAGGCACATTTGATAAGTCTTCAGTTGACATGGCTATGTTAAAGCAAATGGCTGATACAGTACACGCTAATGGCGATTTTGAAGCAGAAATCTGGCTGAGCGTCTACAATGTCAGCAACGCTCTAGTTATGGATCGTATGGCCGATTGCGTACCTTATGTAGCCTTACTAGAAGCATATACTCAAAATGCTGCTAGTTATAATAGAATTGCTATTCATGGTACTTTGCTTTGCTATTATGCTAGAAATCATGTATACGACTTGGCAAAGCGACATGTTCAAAAGCTAATTAATGTGCTGCCTTCACTGACCATTACATGTAAGCCTGAAAACATCACATAGCTGACAAGTACTAAATTCTCCTAGCAAACATTTTCCCAATTTTTGGCCTAATTTTTGCAACAATGGGCCTTTATTCAATGATGGAAGATGGTCAAATGGACCTTGTAACTGATGGAAACATTAAGAATTATGAAAAATTTATTCTCGGCCTCTCAAGGCTGAATCGAGCATTTCAATTAGTAAAGTTTTGGGAATTTACCCAACCTTGCCTCTATTTAGCAAGAGCGCTCCCATATATAGCTACAAGGCGAATAGTAGAAGGATACCTAGTAAGATTAAACATAGGTTCTGTATTGTGGTCGTAACAGCCTTCTAACACAATTAATATTAGGTGCTCCGCCATGGTGTATTTGAAATGCATTTTATTCACGAAATTAGATTTCTAAAAGCGTATTATTGGGCAAATCTGGGTAAATTTGCATTTACTCCTGAAGATCGACTGGAGTGGACAGGAAGGGCCATAAAGGACTTTAATATGTTAGGCGTACCTGTTGACGTTTATTGTAATCCAGACCCTGCAAACCTTCATTATCATGGATTCCCTGCAGACCTACGTTATTCTGGCGCAGCTAGCTCAGAAGAAAAAAATGACAACTCTATCAGAAATTCATCAATCGCTCAAGCATCAAATAGCCCAAAAGTACATGTTCAAGCTGATTTAGCATAATATACTAAATGGTTGTAATCATTGATGAGCTACGAAATTATACATTCAAAAACGACCTCCCCCTTTTTTTAACGCCATAGGATATATTCATAGTAGGCGCTATGGTTTATATATACATAACTCCTCCGCTACTGTTTTATTAAAAATAAATTTCAGAAAGAGGATAAAATTATAACGTGTATGAAAAAAATAGTTGGCGCATATTAAAAAAAAGCATTTACGCAAAGGTTAAAAATAAAATGCGCGCAAAAGGAGACGACATACAAATGAGAGTAATAAGTACCAAGGAGAGAATATAAAGAGTTATACAGTTAGTTATGTAAGAAAATTATTACATCCATACAACTTACCCCGAAGGCATCTAGATGTGTCCTAGCAATAACTTTGACAGAGAATTATGGTCCACCCTTCTTCGACGTCTTGTAGGAGCAACAGCAACCCGGCGAAACCTATGAGGAACCATACCATTATGTCGAAGCCCACGAAGGATGTGCATGTAGTTGATGCAAGCAGCAATATCCCTGTTCCATAAGCGATATCTATCTGGAGCTGCCATGGCGAGCCTACAGTATAGATTGGTACATCTGCAGGTAATGTTCAATCAGTATAAAGTTATCCAAGTGGTTCATGTATTATTACCTTAAAAGACCATGACAGACAATCGTAGTTCTAAAGTCCATGTCTGTACACTCCCACCTATGAATCCAGTTAAAACGCTCCTGAATTTTTTCTTCACTGTTCCTATCTACAGGCTGAAATTGGGCTTTTTTGAGTGACAAGCTACATTCAGTTCTTACAAAATTGTAGATAGTGCTTTTAGAGACCTTGAGATCCTGAAGCTTTTGAAGTAGTCGCTCCATGACTTGCTCCAAGACGGCTGAAGGACTCTCATCTATATACTCCAAGATCACTTGCTTGTGTTCTTCATGAAGTATACGCGAGCGACCGATTTTCTTATGCTTTATAAAAATACTAGCAGGATCTGTTTTGTACATTTGAGCCCATCTTTGAGTTGTGCGAACATGAATACATAATTGTTTTGCAGCAGCTGAAGCACTTATAACTTTCTCAAACGTCAGTTTAAAGAATCCAACTTTGTCTTGATCCGTATAGAGTGTGTACGCTCGCTTACTCGACGCCTCCTTCATACAAACATCTACATCATGTTTTGCATCTTCATCTGCCACAGAGCCTACATCGAAATTATTCTCCTGAGGCTGATTATGCAAATACTGAGTGTGTGAGCTAACTGTTTCTAAAGCATATCGCTCCTCATCAATGGTGTAGTCCATAGGCTCAGGTCTACCGTATCCATCAACTGCATTACCGTGCCCGTCTTCATAGAAAATTTGAAAGCTCATATTGTAATACTTAGTTTTTAATGAGAAAGAGAGTAAAAAAAAAAAAGAGAGAGAGAACTGGTGGTGCTTTCATGCTTAATGTATTCATATTTTGGACGGCAAAGCTTCTACATATACGACATTTAATTTGTCAGCAAGCGAAATCAACCAATGGTTAACGTGACGTTAGAATTTAGCAAGCGCGAATTTTACTCTTGGCATCAGTGTCAATAATTTTTAGAAATACTGTATAAGCATCGAGTCCATTTGCTGTCTCCAGATGAACCACCGACTTATGATACCCGAAACAATTTCTGATCCATTATCCTTCCTTTTGGACATGCTACCTATGAAGAGACCACACTCCTTTCAAACCGCTTTCTCATGGATCATCCGTTGGCCAGCTATCTGCGCTCTTCTTTTTGAGCTTGACTACCTCCATCACCAAAAGCGTCCGCCTTCTCCGCCCCCTCACTAGTGTATCTTACACCTGGTCCAACATCATTTCTTCCATAACTTTTTTATCCTTGATCCCGTAAGGGTTTTTTTAGTTACCAGTTCTTTATTCTCTTTTGACCTGCCTCGGGCGAAGAAGATATATTATTATCGTGCGCTCACTTGAGGCTTTAATTGTAAATAAAAATCTGTTTAACCGTATAAGCATCGAGGGGGTCTATGCTCCTAGCTCAATGGTCGAAAATCTATGATTTGAAGCTAAAGTCTTGCGTTCGAATCCCACAGAATCGCTTCCAGTAGCTTGCTCTTGAGGATTTTAATGCCGCTCTGTATGGCTCTCGGTTGTTGGCCGTTGGAAATAAACAAATTATGAATAATTGCGGCACCCGCCCAGGTTGAAATAAGCATGAACCCTAACACCACCTGTACCTTCTCACCCCCACCACATTATACACCCCACTTTATTGAACTTGTCCGGGCAATTTCAGTATAAAATACTACGTGCCCACTTGGGTTTAACAAAAGATTGTTTAACCGTATAACAATTCCAACTCAATGTTACATAAAATACCTATATATTTTAAATTTCTATTTTAACATAAATAGAATCCGTTGAAAGAAGCCAAAAAAAAAAAAGAATTATATATACTTTATGAATTATGTATCAACACATTTGAATCAGGATACGCGTTTCACTGATAAAATTTGCAGAGAATAATTAGCATTTTTACAAAAAATGAAAATAAAACCGTTGCTGTCGCGCTTCAGGTTCTCTTATATTTTTCATAAACCGAAATAAAACTTGGTTCTAGCCCACTTTGTCTTTGTTTTCTTTATATTTTAAAATGATCATTTCTATTAACTAAGTCAACTATGTTTTACCTATTTGAAGTTTACTTCTTTTGGCAAATGGCTGTTTTACCGATATCCTGAAATTTAATAGTTGAAGTATTACAGCTATGTAAAATAAAAGGTTTTTATTATGGCCAAGTGTTTAGAGAATTTACATTAACTGCCAAAACAATAGTATATGAAATTAGGTTCTCCAAAAGTTGCTATAATAATAAATAGGCAGAGTGAAACCACGATGAAGTGTAAGTGCTCCAAGGGGCTTTTTGCTAATGTGATGTAAACATATGTTTTAAAAGATAGAATATATGAAAGGCTTCAGAAATAACATAGAAGAAGCGAAGCTTTGAGAATGAGAAAGTACATGTAGGATACTTGTATGTTTTTAAATTTTAGTAATCAAGTAAGAATCTTGCATTTATTTTTTTATAATCCTCCATTAATTGGCATTTCTTCAATATTGAAACTTTTCCATAAACTGATTATTCCCATTTATCTTATGTCGTTCCTAAAACCCTGCTTCATTTTTATAAAAAAAAAATACACTTTTATAAGAGTGGCGAAAAAAGATAAGCGTTAAAGTGAAAATACTGTAGACAATATCTAGCTTGCTTCAACATGATAAATGATAGCAAAATATTATGCGACGCATAATAAAGCCTCTATTCAAAGCGCATTTTGCGCAAACATAGCAGCGTAAGAAATTGCTTCTTGTAGATGCCTATGTTTAGAGACTAATTTATAAGTGCGTTCTTATAAAGTAACAACTCGTGATTTTGATAGCCCAATAAAGTAAACTGAATGAAATAAACGTGAAAAAATGACATAAAGGTAACATAAATGGTGTTTAGAATACTTTAAAAGAGAGTATATCGAAAAGCATAAATAGAAAGTAAAAAATTGAAATGCAAGTTACAGAAATTATATGCATGAATGTTATTCAAACAGTAAAAACAAAAAAATAATGCTATTTTTTGAAAATTAAGTGGCTTAATTAGTTATAGGCAAGAAGTTTATTAGACTTTACGGTTAAGTGTGTATTTGGAATAATGATTGACAATAATATATCTTAATTTATATTAATAAGCAGCCATCATATCTTACTAAGATCAATTGAATAATTTGTCAAGAAAAAAAAAAAGAGATAAAACAACAAGATCAAACACTTACATAGCAGATGAAATTCTGTTTTATTTTATGAGAATGGCGTTGACCTTTACACTTTTGGTTTCTTTTTCTGTTTACGAGCTGCTTTTTTACTGCTCCAGGTATTTTAAAAAATAGAGAAATTTCACTTTAAAGTTCATATATAATGTATACGAGATTCACCCTCAAGGATGCTGTGAAAATGTCAAAAGTAAAAACAAGGAAACACAGTAAGACCGAATTAATTCTTTCATTGATAAAGAGAAGTTCTTGTTTATACTTTAAGTTTGCTGCATGATTATAGTTGATAGTTGTTCTTGAGTAAGGTGGCTTAATTACATTTTTTCCTAGCTTTACTACTATGACATTCGAATCAAGAGATGACGTAATGTAATGTATATAACTTCTGTTAGTGTGAGGTTAATTGTCTTAGCTTTAATAGGCGTCAATTATGCTCGGATGCGATAGACGCTACAATATGATTACTTTTGTGTAAGATAAGCCTGTTATAGCTTGGATAGAGAGTTAAAGTACGTAAAGAGCTTAAAGCCTAATGACTCGTTTAACTTAAAGTTAGCATTTGCTTTATAGGCTTAAGCTGGCTTTTGGTTTAAAAGAGTAATGTAATAGAGGTAAATGCTGTAATATTAAGTAGTGTGGTCACCAGGCTTTATTAATACAAGATCAAACATAATTGAAATAAAAGACAGGAAAAAATTGTAAAAGCTTTTATAAATAATAAGACGAGGATAAGATTTTTATTGTTATATTTACCAAAAGTTGATAGAGATACCTTTAAAAAAAACCCCAAATATGGATTTATTTAATAAAACGT